AACATGCAGCAGTAATTAGGCTATTGCTTTTTGGCAAAACATGTTAGATGTTGCGCCATTTTCTCTAGGTCTACCAAAACAGCTGAACTACCGCGCCTTCTACTAATCTCCTGTTCCCTTTTCTGAACAATTGTGGCAATTATCTTCCAATTTTGGTCAAATTATTGAATAATAAACTATTTTAATTAAATTTTTGTTCTGACAGATAATGCCCTTTTGGAAATGGTCTTCAGAGAACGAAGCAGAGGAAGCACTGACCAAAAAACTTCGTGAATATTTTGTTAAGAATGTGAAGATTGCCGAAGCAAACCAGGCGCGCGCAAGAAGCCTAGTGAGGGACTGCATTAAGGATCATATCATTGAATATTGCCAACAGAACTCGTCTCTTCCAATCTTGAGAATTGAATACACTGGAAGCGTGTATGAGAGGCTTAAAACGGAAGCTGCCGATGAAGTGGATATTATGGTAGTACTGAAAACCCATAAGCCATTGCTATGGGGTGATCCGGAAGTTCTGGTTGAAGATGTAGGTAAAGCTGGCTATGCGCTACTCAAGGCAAGAGATGACTCCAAACTTCTGAGATACGCCAATTCTGAAGGGTACATTGATCCGAAGCGGCTCCGAAATGGCTGGTTTTGTAGTCTTGTTGATCGAGCAGTAAGTGCTTTTAACAGACATGCAAATTCGGATGTCACGTTAAAAGTACGTTATCACGGGCCTGCTGTTCAAGTCGATATCACAGAAGAACAAAATGATGTCTTACTGTTATCAGTTGATCTCGTTCCTTGTTTCGAAGTTGAAAAAAGTCAATACTTCGTCCCAAAATCGAGTGACCCAGCGCACGATCCATTCTCCAGTCTCCTCTGGAGGCAATCGTTTTCACTTGATGAAAAGGCACTGTTGAAGCACATGGATAAAGATGACCATGGCTGCAGACACGAGCTGCTAAGAATCGCAAAAAGCATCGTCAAGTGGCAGAGGACATCACTCGGGCCTTTGGAATCTTATCACGTGAAGAGTGCCTTTGTACATTACATTACAAAGAATCGAGACGATTGGGATAGCCGGAATTCCCGATTCCTTGGAAAACACTTTCTAGGTTTTCTTAGGGAACTTCAGTCTTTCCTTGAGGAAGGAAACCTTCCAATCTATTGGATGCCAGAGGTCAACCTGCTGGAAGAAATAAATCCAGTGGTGCTTAAAAATATGGCGAATCGTCTAAAGAGAATTCTCAATAGTGCAGAAGCAGAAATTGATAGCATTCTATCTTCCAGAATACACTTGGAATGCTTAATTGATGAGGATGAGATATTTAATTTACATTACACTTCTCATCTTGAAATGCCGCAATTAGATACAGATGGTGAAGAAAGGTCTTCTCTCCAGGCGTTTATTCTATCAGGCGTAGAGTTAGTGGTTGAATCAGTGCAGGATGTTTTAAATTTTGCTATCGTTTGTATTTGTTTTGTTTTAAAAGTTTTCAATGTCATCTTATTTTGTTTTCTGACGTTACTAGCAATCACTGTAATCATTGAGGTTGTAGAGAAGGCCAAGCTTCAGGTTAGTCTTGTAACTTACAGGGTCCCCTAAGTCGTATGGAAGCTGTAGATCATGCGAAATGGAAACAATAAAAAAGACGTAGACTATACGTTTTATTTAGTTTTTGATGCAAAGTCTCGCATGCACAATTTCATTAATGAAAGGCAACAACTTAAACAACATCTTATGGTTATGTACACACTATGCAAAGCCGGATAGCTTTTGCGCGGGCAAGATACGTTACTGGATAGAGCTTCTATTCACATAATTAAGAACGTCGGGTTGATTTCCGGCACGAATTCTGCGGTAACGGTACGATGCGCCGCGCCCGATCTCCAAAGTGGAGAGTTACACATCAGGTATCCGTTTTAAGACTAGAGGTGAGGTTTAAAAGTGATCCGGCGACCCTAACCATTTACTTTGTGCAGTTAGAAACACGTTATCCTGTTCACTTGATGTTGACTGCTGTCTTGTGACATTGCAGTTTCCTTTACCTAGACTGAAGATGACCTATGGCCACTTCTGCTATTAACAAAAATCCTAAGCAAAAAGGAACCGACAAGAGAGCTTTCCTCAAACGCCTACATGGTGGATTGAACCAGTCACTGGAGTCGACCGAAACCGATGAACCAGCGCCAATAAAACTAGAGGTAAACCGTGTTCTTAAACAAAGGTTTACCGTGGGAAAACAGTCACACAAGGCCACATGGGCCAAGCAAAGGCCTAGTGCACATAACAGGCGCAAGTAGGTCAATACTTCGTCCCAAAATCGAGTGACCCAATGCACGATCCTTACTACAGTCTCCTCTGGAGGCAATCGTTTTCACTTGCTAAAAAGGCACTGTTGAAGCGCATGGATAAGGATGACCATGGCTGCAGACACGAGCTGCTAATAATCGTAAAAAGCATCGTCAAGTGGCAGAGGACATCACTGGGGCTTTTGGAATCTTATCACGTGAGGAGCGCCTTTGTGCATTACATTACAAAAAATCGAGATGATTGGGATAGCCGGAATTCCCGATCTCTTAGAAAACACTCTCTAGGTTTTCTTAGCGAACTTCACTCTTTCCTGGAGGAAGGAAACCTTCCAATCCATTGGCACCCTAAAGTTAATCTGCTAAAGTTAATCTGCTACATGAAAAAACCCCAGTGGTGCTTGAAAATATGGCAAATCGTCTGAAGAACTTGAACAGAATTCTGACACGTGCGATGCTTTGCTTAAAACGAAGTCACTTCTTTTATGTCAAATTGCGATTTTTAAATCTAAATTATTATTGTTAATAATTATTTTTTCGTTCATTTATTTATTTATTTTTGTAAAACAGCACAAAAATCAGAAAAGTGGTTAACCGTGCATAGAGCTAAGGAAGAATGACGCTAGAATATTATTAGAAAAGCGTCTATCAAACTTGTACTCTACCACTCTATAGCGACGTATGTAGGCCAAGATACAAAAATCTCCTAATTATGTTTCCGGAAATTCCCTATTTCTTTTTTAAATATCTCCAAAATATCCGGCTTCATTTTCATAAATATTACAGTAAAAACATAAAATGTATCGTATCATCTAAAATGGCAACACATATTTCAGGAGACGATGTTCTTACAGTATATAACTAAATTCTAAACAATTTAACATATAAACTGACACTTACACTGCAAAGGACCGCAAACGAACGTTCTGCAGCATATTCGTTTGCGGTCCTTTGTAGTTTAAATGTCAGTTTATTTCTTATTTTGGGGTCGTATGTCTTTTTTAAATCCGTTGTAGTTTGATACTTGTAGTCAAGTTGTTCGTATTTTCGGGGTACATTTGTTTTCTCTGCAAGTGTTCTTATGAAATGCTCAAGTGTTAGTGATTATGTAGTACATAATCACTTATAATTGTTGCTCTCTCGGAATCCATTCTTCATTTCCTGTAGTATATTTTTTATATATTTTTCGGCGAAAACTTTCGAAAATCTGGAAAAAAAATTCCCATAGATTTCATGTTTTTGTGGCATATATAAAAGCGTGTCTCCGCGATCAGTTTAACATTAGACATCGCGCTAATAAAAATAGTAAAAATGTTTTTTTTTTCGCTTTTGTTAAAGCAGCTGAAGATTGCTACGATACATTTCTTCCTTGATAAATAAAACTATGAGTTTGGAGATCAAACCATAGAAATGTATTGCTTTGCAAGTGAAAATTAGATTTATACAGGAACGGTGGTTTTTGGCGTTGAGACTTAAAAGTCTTTTAAAAAAGGTCAAGAAAACCTAATGCTGAAAAATCCACAACTAAAAATCCGCGTAGAAAACGTCAGATTTTTTGTCCTGAAGAACATTTTTTGTACGAGAAAAGTACGGTATTCAAAGCACCAACGCAATTGCCCTTATAAAAGGACTGTAACTTCACGGGTCTCGATTTCCCGCCATCAGATTTGATGCGCCCACGCTATTGTAGTTCAGCGAATGCACGCCTCCACACGCAAAATGCCCCCGCCCCCCCACCCCTGTTTATATTTGCATACGTGTAAGTGGACCCCTTCGCAAAGAGAGCTTGATATATAAAAACAATTTACCAACGCCAGGTAAGAGTTTTGCTACGTTTTCAGTCTATGTTTCTTTCATATTCTAGCGAAAAATAAACCTTGAAAGAGAATTTGCTTTCGTTTGGATAGAACATCAGCATGATTTCCGCAACAACATGGCGAAAATTTGTGAAACAGAGGTTAATCGTTTAATAATGCAGTCCAATCTAACTTCGAGGTAACAGAACGATCGATTCGAATAAAGATCTTAGATGCTCCAATTCTTGTCTCTTTATGGCTTAATGTTTGAATTTAGCTCGACCATATTTGATGGCGAGGTTTACTTTTAACATTAAGTGATACGCCTGATAGCTTTGTCATTTTCGTTCGTGTTGGAGACTAGAGATCTAAAATCCAATGCATGATAAACTAGATGCATTTGAATTATGGCCTCAATTTTATACAAAAAAGTCTACTAATAATACGGTCATCGTCAACAGACACCATAGACTGTGAACAGTCTCTCTTTTGCTAGAAAATCTGCGAGCAAGTGCAATATGTGAGTATGCGAGCGGCGAAGCCATGCGCAACGAATGTTGCGGTCTAGCAAGCACACAAAGAATTACAACAGAACCTGTGTGTAAACGGTTCAGTGTGCCGTTGAAAATTTACGGTGCAATTATAGTCCTCTCTGTGTACGGTTGTGATTTCTGCAGCGTTTTTGATTAGAGTTGACCGGGAGGGAGTATTCTTGGTTTGCAACCACTTGACAAGGCTGCCATGTTGGTGATCAAAACAACAGATTTTTTACTCCAATAATTTACGTTAAAATGGTGTTTAGTTCTCAGAGGAGAGAAATGGTGGTGTTCTTGATCACCAACATATGGCCAACCTGGCGTCACGTGCAAATGAGTGGAAAGAACGTGTGTGTGTTTGTGTGTGTGTGTG